GGGTGGTAATCTGGAGGCGGCTCCCATGAAGTGGCCGTCCATCTCATGAGTGGAATAAGGAGGAAATGCCCCTACGTGGTGCACATTTGGTCGAACAGTACAACTGCTGAAGGCATCTCCTTGCATATTTTGGTTTCCGTAACCTAAGTACTTAGAAGTAAAACTCTGGCTATTTCCGAACCTCGGCTGGTAAAGTGGTAGATTTAGCTTAGACAGAGGGTCCTGGTTTGGATACCTATATAGATCCACGGGCTGAGACTGGGGAGAATAGGAACCCAGATACTGGGAGCAACTGTCCACTGATATGTTTCCGTTGCATTGATATGATGGATACTGGTTATTCTGGTTCAAAAGCCCAGGGTAGGGGCTCATGGGGTTCGAATTCAGATATGAACTTGCAGCTTGGGATGAGGTGGAATAGAGGTTCATAGGCTTGGCGCCTCCATATATCTCTGAAGTGTGTGAAGAGCTTGGATAAGGACTGACTGGATTGGGCCGTCTCATGTATAGATTGGTGGATCCAGAAGAAGAGTAAGAGTTGACAGACTCTGACTGAGGGTTACTAGTTAAGGGGGGATGTGGCTGCTGTTGCTGGGGTTGCTGCAGCTGGGGTAGCTGCTTTGGTAGCTGCGGGACTTGCTTCTGTAGTTGGGGCTGGGGCGGCTGGGGCGGCTGGGGCGGCTGGGGCTGCTGGGGCTGCTGCATGACTGGTCCTGAAAGTCGCAAAAGTTCTGTGGACAGGATAAGAGAGAACATGGACAAAGGCGCTTGATTATCATCTTATGACAGCTGGTGAGGATGCTTACATGTATGTGAGACCCACCACCAGGATCTTGCAACATCAACCAAACAAGAACAAGAGCAAAGTTCGGGCTCTAATCACTGTCTAGCATAATTTTTTGTGTCTGAAACATTGAAAATAAAATGGTAGACCATGTAACAGTGCAATCTGTTAAGTGGTGAGAAATATAATAAATATCCCAAAGCCATTCCATTGGGAGCATCATATTCTCTGCAGTTTCTGTGCTTTTGACCAAGCCACATTCTCTACTTGAACTGCTCTCCTCCTTCCTCCCCATCTCCCTGCCCTTCCTTGACGTAGTCATCCCTTCCTCAAGGAAGCCTTCTATAACCTCAGCTTCTAGTGCTTTTGTAACACTCTGTAATATCCACTGCATACATAAGTCAGATAAAGCAACAGTCCATAACATACTAGAATTATCAATTTCTCATCCCCTCTTCACTCCACTGCAAAGTAGTTCCGTGAGGGAAGGGATCACATCTTATTTTATTTCCCCACTGCCTGGCAAGCAATCAGATTTATTAAATAAAGTAGCAGAAAAATTATTATAGAAGATTTAGCAATGCTATGAGAAAGAGTGACATTCATTTAAGTACCCAAAGCACTTTATATAATTGGCAAACCCTATTTCTCCAGCGTGCTTTCCAGAAAGGAAGTTTATACAGTTGTAGATAAAACTTTAAAGAAACTTTCAGCTTTGCAAATGAAACTTTTTTTTTTTGATTAGTACTGACTTACTCATCCACTTTTTGGGGGGCATGGGGAGAGGTGTAAGTGAAACTCTTAAAAGTGATAATTCTATTTCATGATCTCACTTAAAAAAAAAGTCATATGAGAAATGAAAACAGATAAAAGGAGCTACAACAGCTGTCCTGTAGAGACCAGTTAGAAGGAATCAAAGGCAAAGTTTCATCTGATTATACTTTACAGCTAGCTTAAAGGAGACAGCAGGGAGCGGACAGGATTTACTTCTCTTAGTGGAAGTCAACCAGTCGACAAATATTTATTAAACACCTCTGACATATTATTCCAAATTACTTGGTTTTATCTCTGAGCTTCAAAATCAATCAGTAGGGAAATTTGACTCTGTGAAGCAAAGATGGTTGATTGCTAAGCAAACCAGTATACTTACACTTAACAGATACACATTTTTCTCTTATTAATGGCTACGCCAATACAATTTCTAAAATTTGGGTAGGGACAGTACATTGTATGATTTTTTTTTAAACAGTATTAACCACAGACATAGATCAAGGGGCTTTGGAAAGAAAGTATCAACTTAGCATTGATAAATAATGCTCCATTTCTACTACTATAGATGTGGTCTATTTTGATGGGTAAAAGCTTTATAAGAACTACATGTGGACTCCCCTCATGAACCTCGACTCAACGCGTCTAAGGAAAAGTACCTTATTCTCCTGCACCTCCCTCCATAAATCCTATTTTCAAACTTATCTCAATAAATAGTATAGTTTTAATTATCTAGGCTTAAAACTCTAGAGGCATCCTTAAAGATTTTTTTCTCCTTCATTCTAATGCTTTGTCACCAATGTACTGATACTCATTTTGGAAGAATTCCCCTATGTAATCTTTGCTACATCTTCACTGTTACCACCAAAATTCAAGCTCTTGTTACTTTACTCTTTGGTTTACTGCATCAGTCACCAAAGTATTAGCTCCTCTACCTCCAATTTGGCCTTCCTGCCATTTGTAGATTAACAGTAATTTCACGATATCACCTACCATAAAACTTTGCCATGTATTACAGAATAAAATCCAAACTTCTCCCTCAAGCTGGAGTTGATGGTACAACATCTCATTACTGTCTACCAGACCAAGGCTTGGGCCTTGCTCCTTTACAAGAGATTCTGGTACACAACTAAGACCATGACTGAACATAACCTTCCAAAATTAACACTGTTGATGTTCAACCTAAGTGTCATAGAACACACATATCTACAATGTTTCGCGTTAAAGTTACCTGCCAACTGTTTAGCCTGGCTTGTGTTTTCTATCTGTTTTGTACGAGATGAGGCTGACTTTTCCTTTTCACTCTTGCTTGTGCTGTTCTCCAGAGAGGAAAGCTTCTCAGCTGCAGCTTTCTTGGCTTCTAGCTTCCTTTGTCGGCATGTCTTGACCGGCTCCGCTAACATCCTGACTTTGCGCCGAAAAGAACTCAGGACCTGAATGGCACCATTTCGTTTCTTCTCCTCCTGAGCTTCTACACTCCCAAACTCATCCACGTCAGAGACTTTGTAGAGGGGCAGAACGTGGAGCTGCTCATCGTCTGGTTTTCCTCCAATTTCTCGATTGTCTTCTCTAGTGAGGGTGCATACCTGGTATGGAAATAAGACTGTGGCTTCAGTTTCAGTCCAAATGACAAGTGGTGTGTGTTTGTGTGTGTGTGTGTTTCTCCTTATCAGTATTTAGATCTGTGGTGGGGGCTTACTTGACCAGATTGGTGACATGCATTTTACCATAAAACCACATCTGTCTGTTATTAATGCAGATTGCATCAAAATGGTACATCAAGATCGACAAGTTCGCGTGGACCCTTTTGTTGTTGTTGTTGTTTTGAGTCTATGAGGAAATGACATCTGTAGTGACTCTGTTCCTCACATACATTTCGGACTAAGGGAAGAAGTGATACTCTTACCAAAGCAAAGCAATTTCCCAGTTTTCACACTTAAAAAATAGATGTGGTCGATGTGAAGCCTCTTCAAAAGAGGCTAGAAGTTTCCTCTACCCAATGACTTCCTCTGTTTTTGGTAATATCACATTCACCTCATCTCATGCTTTTGTACAGAAAGAAATTTCACCTCTTTCCTCACACCTCTCTTGCTTTCACTGTGTCTAAGAAATTTCCACAGGATACCAAAGTGAAATCTAAATAATGTAAAATGGAAGATCTGATTGATAAAGGTAATATGTAACTTAACACTGTTTCTACGTCTCTTTTCTTTCTTTCTGGGTATTCTGTGAAATCTAACTCAGTGTTTCCCTTTTCATTTCTTTTCTGAAAAGGAAAAAAAGAGCTACTTCTGCTGCTTTGATAAGTTAATGGTACTTTTTTTTGTTGGCCACACTGGCCGTGATGAAAGATTACTTGTTGGTTTTAAAAATACTAGTTTTTAGTATTTAGGGTTTTTAATTAACAGAAAATGTGACCATGATTATTTAAAACCCAAGGTAATACAAAATCATTGGAAGATACTCTTGAAAGGAATGTGGTCATGATTGTTTTAGGTTTACCTCTATAAATAAGTTTAACATGAGATGGTATTAAAATGAGTGTTATACATTGTACACACGTCTTCCCAAATCCTTGTCCCTGAGCGCTTGTCACCTTTTCCCACACACATTTATCCCTACTCACGTCTGCTTATCTAGTGCTGCTTCCGTTTCACCTCACAGAACCTGTGACCTACCAGGAAAATTCCCCTTTATTTAAAAATTCTTCCTCATCCTTGGCCCACTCTCCATCACCCTGCTGGAGAGAAACCTGGCTATCTTCAGGACCTACTATAGCTCCAGCTATTACTTATTTCTTCTACTTCCCAGAATTGAGCATAGCCTCCAAAGGATGGGCAGGTGATTAGCAATGATTTTAGATACTGTGGATGGTAAGCCTTGTGTTTGTTCTCCTGGATCAGAAGTCACGTGGGGTCTGTGACCAACCAGCCCTTCAGCCTGTTTTATATGGCCAGTGAACTAAGAATGGTTTCTGCATTTTAAAAGAACTTTTTATTGAAAAAACCACAAACAAAAAATATGGCAGAGATCCTCTGGGGCTTGCAAAGCTTTTAATAGAAAAGTTTTCCCACCCCTGCTCTAGACCATTAAACCAATACCTTTGCTTCTCAACAAAAATTTCACACCAGCTTCCTCGAATTACTTCCACTACTGCCTTCTACCTCCCCGAGATCTTTTCTACCCTAGAATGTAACTGTAGTGCCTGCTTTGTATTTTCCACATTAAGTCTCATTGGTCATCTTCCTCAGCTACCCCTGTATCCATGCTGATGACTCATTGGGTTGATTCATTTACAGTTTCTACACTTGAGCTTTTTCATTATCTCTACTCTGGGTCATCCCTCCACATGCAGGGCCTCACCCTGAGCTTTGTTGATGTGTAATACTCCTCCCCCCCAACATGGATCTATTTTCTGCCCTTACCATAGCCAACAATTATAAGGCCCAATCCCTTTCACCCACTGTAATGTGTAGTTACAAAGGTTTCTTTTGCACTTTGAACCTTCTGTACTAGTACTGTGACAATGATGATCCATTTTTCATTCACACTTCTCTCTTGCAAGGTGGATTGGTACTTTGGCTTGTATATGGCTTTTTGCTTAACTGCTTATGACCTACCAGACATGGAACACTAAACTTTCGAAGACTTTTTTGGGCATCTTATTGTAGCTGGCAATGCTTAGTTACCAGTTCAGGTTAGCACCAAGAGTTTCCATGATTTTCACGTTGCTTGCCCACACTGTTTTCCACTAATGTGCCATGTCAACCTGTGATGAGTACTAATTATGCCAAACAAGGTCACCTTGCAATAGCAATTCATTCACAAAAACACTGTTGTGCAGTGACACCTGCAGAGAACATATTCCTTGAACTGCTGCTAACTTCCAGTCCTCTGCTCCTCAACGGAACATGCTGCTAACCTATCCTTAGCCCACTTACCAACGTGCTGCCGTTCTGCATGTTGTGCAAGTCTCTGTGGGCATGAGCACAGAAGTCCAAACATGCAGTGACCCCTGAGAATGGACGGCCTTCCTTCAGACCCAGACGGCACTCTGGTGCTCTGTGTTCATATTCAATCTGAAAAATAGAAGTGTGTGTGTGTGTGTGTGAGTGGGGAAGTACTTAGGCATTTGAAATTCTTAGGCACACATGTGACAAAAAAGCACAAGTCCTGTGTACTGAGCAGGTCAAAAAGATTCCTTAGTATTATATTTTATCTCCAAAAACACAATGGAATGACTCAAAACAGAGCAAGTACCCTGACATAGAAAAGTTTTTATTTTACAGTGTTATTCAGATATAACAGACTTACATTGAATCGCATATATTTAAAGTGTACTATTTGATAAATTTTGACATATATATATATACAAGAAATGATTGCCACAATCAAAATGATGTACATATCCATCATTCCCTAAAGTTTCGTCACACTCCTTTATAGTTCACACCTCCTGCTTTGTTCCCAGGTAGTTAACTACTGATCTGTTTTCTGTCACTATAAATCAGTTTGCATATTCTAGAATTTATATAAATGGTTCCATTTTGAGTTAATTTTTACATAGGTTGTGAGATTAAGAGTCAAAGTTAATTTTTGTCCATATGGATATCCAACTGTTCAAACAAACACCTTTGGATAAAAAGATAATACTTACCCCACTGAATTGCTTTTGTTGAAAAGCAGTTGGCCATCCATGTTGAATCTATTTCCAGACTCTCTATTCTGATATTTTGTTATGTAATGGTGTGCTGATGTGTGTGTATGTATTGTATTTATGCCAGTATCAACTGTTTTGATTACTAGTAATGTAGGTTTGTAGTAAATCTTGAAATCAGGGAGTATAAATCTCCAAATTCTGCTCTTAAAAAATGTTTGACTATTACAGGTTATTTGCATTTCTCTCTATATTTTAGAATCACCTTGTCAATTCCTTCAGAATACTTGGTGAGATTGATTAATCTGGGGAAAATTAACTTCTTAATGATTAGTCTTGAGATCCATGAACATGGTATATCTCTCCAGTTGTTTAGGTCTTTTATAATTTCTTTCAGCAGAGTTTTAAAGTTTTCAGTGCACAGGTGTTCTAAATCTTTGTCAAATTTATATCTAAGGATTTCATATTTTGGGTGCTATTTTAATTGATACTGGTTTTCATTTCAATTTTTAATTGTTTATTGCTAGTATATAGAAATATAATTGATTTTTGTATTTTGCAACTTTGCTAAACCATTTATTCTAGGAGTTTTTTTTTGTAGATTCTGTGGGACTTTCCATGTAGACACACATGTTATCTGCAAATAAGGACATTTTTATTTCTTACTGTTCAATCTGTATCCTTTTTATTCCTTTTTCTTGCTTGTTGCATTGTCTAAAATTTCCATTTAGATGTTAAATACAATAAGCTACCAGGACATATTATACAGCACAGGGAATATAGCCAACATTTTATAATAAATGGAGTATAACCTTTAACAGTTGTGAATCACTATGTTGTACACGTGAAATGTATGTAATATTGCAAATCAACTATACCTCAATTAAAAAATTTGGATGCCACAAAAAGCTTGCTGACCAAAGATGAAAACTATTCTTGAAAACCTTCCTTGAATTTTATTAAGCAAACATCCATTTGATAAAAAATTTAAAGTATTTCTTTTTGTTGTTGTATGACAATTGTATATTAAGTGTATGTTTATAAATAGGCACAGAGAATATCTTCAACACATAATAAAACCTACTTGAGAAGTTAAAAAAAATGTTAACTAGAAGTGGTGAAAATATACATACTTTTCTTGTTCCCAGTCTTAGGGGTAAAGTGTTCAGTCTTTCACTGTTAAGTATGATAATAGCTTTAGGTTTTTCAACTAAGCCTTTCATCAGGCTGAGAAAGTTCCTTCTATGGATGTTAAATTTTGTCAAATGCTTTTTATCTATTTAGTGAGATACCATATTTTTCTCTAATATGTTGGTTAATATGGTGAATTACACTGGTTTTTTAAAATTGAAGTATAGTTGGCTTACGAAGTTGTGTTTCTGGTGTAAAGCAGGTTATTTATATATGTGTATGTATATTCTTTTTCACATTATTTTTCATTATAGGTTAGTACAAGATATTGAATATAGTTTCCTGTGCATACAGTAGGACCTTGTTTATCTCTTTTGTATATGGTATTTTGTATCTGTTAATCCCATACTCCTAATTTATCCTCCCCCACTTCCCCTTTGGTAACCATAAGTTTTTTATTTTTTATTTTTTTTATGTTTGTGAGTCTGCTTCTGTTTTGGTAATAAGATCATTTGTATCATTTTTTATATTCCACATATACATGATATCATATTTAGTTTTCTGTGACTTACTTCACTTAATATGATAATCTCTAGGACCTTTTTTATACCTAAGTACTATTCCATTGCATGCATCTACCTACCTACCTATCTATCTACCTATCTATCTCCCCCAACTTCTTACCCAGTTAGTTATCTGTTGATGGACATTTAAGTTGCTTCCATTTCTTGGCTATTGTAAACAGTGCTACTGTGAACACTGGGGTGCATGCATCTTTTTGAATTAAGAGTCTTCTCCAGGTATATTCCCAGGGGTGTGATTGCTAGATCATAGAATAAGTCTATTTTAATTTTTTTTAATGTAATCTCCATACTGTTTTCCATAGTGGCCGCACCCAAGTACATTCCCACCAACAGTGTAGGAGGGTTCCCTTTTTCCACACACTCTCCAGAATTTTGTTTATGGACTTTCTATGATGGCTATACTGACTGGTGTGAGGTGATATCTCACTGTAGTTTTGATTTGCATTTCTCTGAGAATTAGCGATACTGAGCATTTTTTCATGTGCCTACTGGCCATCTGTATGTTTTCTTTGGAGAAATGTCTACTTGGGTCTTCTGCCAATTTTTTGATTGGATTGTTTGCTTTTTTGTTATTAAGTTGTATGAGTTGTTTATGTATTCTGGAGATTAAGCCCTTGTCAGTCATATCATTGCAAATATTTTCTCGCAGTTCATATATTGTCTTTTCATTTTGTTAATGGTCTCTTTTGCTGTGCAAGAACTTGTAAGTTTGATTAGGTCCTATTTGTTTGTTTTTGCTTTTATTTCTGTTGCCCTGAGAGACTGCCCTAGGAGAACATTGCTAAGATTTATGTCAGAGACTGTTTTGCCTATGTTCTCTTCTAGGAGGTTTATGGTGTCCTGTCTTAAGTCTTTAATCCATTTTGAGGTTATTTTTGTGTATGGTGTGAGAGAGTGTTTTAACTTCATTGATTTACATGTGGCTGTCCAGCTTTCCCAACACCACTTGCTGAAAAGACTGTCTTTTCTCCATTGTATATTCTTGCCTCCTTTGTCAAAGATTAATTGACTGTAGGTGTGTGGGCTTATTTCTAGGCTCTCTATTCTGTTCTGCTGAGCCATATGTCTGGTTTTTGTGCCAATACCACGCTGTTTTGATTACTGTAGCTTTGTAGTATTGTCTGAAGCCTGAGAGCGTTAAGCCTCCAGCCCAATTCTTTTTCTTCAGTATTGCTTTGGCACTTCTGGGTCTTTTGTGATTCCATATACATTTTAGGATTGTTTTTTCTAGTTCTGTGAAAAAGCTCCTGGGTAATTTGATAGGGATTGTATTAAATCTGTAGATTGCCATGGGCAGTATGGCCATTTTAACAATATTAATTCTTCCAATTCAAGAGCATGAGATATCTTTCCATTTCTTTAAATCCTCTTCAATTTCCTTTACACATTGATTAATTTTTGAACATTAAATGAATCAACCATTATTGAAATAAACTCCATTTGGTTGTGATGCATTATCCCTTTTACACATTGTTGGATGTAATTAGATAAAATTTTGTTAAGAATTTTCACATCAATATTTATAAAGATCATTGGACTTTATTTTCTTTTTATTTAATGCCCTTATCTGATTCTAGTATCAGGATATTTCCAGTCCCATATTATGAGTTGGGAAGTGTTTGCTCCTTTGCCATTTTCTAAAAGAGTTTCCATTGAATTTTTTTTTTCTTAAATAATGGGTAAAATTTTAAAGGGAAATCATCTGGTTCTGGAGTTTTCCTTTTGGGAAAGTTTTTAACTACAAATTCAATTTCTTTAATAGATACAGTACTATTCATGGTATTTATATTGTTCTTTAGTAAGCTTTGGTAATTTGTGCTTTTCAAGGACTTTGTCCATTTCATCTAAGTCATTTTTTTATTGGCATGAAGTTTAAATTATGTTTTTATTACTATTCTTTTATTGTCTGTACAATTTATAATGATGCTTCATCTCTAATTCTTGATATTGACAATTTGTGCCTTCTCTTTTTTTCTTGATGATTATTCAAAGTACTAGCTTTTGTTTCACTGATATATTCTCTTGTTTTCTGTATTCTATTTCAATGATTTCTGTTTTCCCCTTTACCTTTTCTGTCCTTCTGTCTTTTAGGGCTAAAGTTGCTCTCTTTTTCCAAGTTTTGTAGGGTAGGTCTGCATACTCGAGAGATGGTTGAGATTATATTTTTCTGTTATAAATGTTCAGTGCTGTAAATCAGTCTCTAATCAAGGCTTTAAAGCTGCATCTCACAAATTTCTTCATTTTCATTCAGTTTGAACTACATTCTAATTTTCTTTGTGATTTATTCTTTGGCCCATAGGTCATTTAGAAATATGTTGTTCAGTTTCCAGATATTTAGGGATTTTGTAGGTATCCTTTTGGTACAGATTTTTAATTTCATTTCATTGTGGCCAGACAACATACTCTGAGGCTTTTAAATTTATAGATACTTGTTTTATGACCCAGAATATAAACTGTCTTGGTAAATCATCCTTGTATACTTGAAAATAATGTTATTCTGTCATCACCTGGGGAGTCCTATACAAGTTAATAAGATCAAGTTGGTTAAGTGTGGTTCAAGTCTTCTATCTCCTTACTAATTTTCTCTCTACTTGTTCTAACAGTTATTGAGAGAGATATATTGAAAACTGACTGCAATTGTGGACTTGTTTCTATTTTTAGTTCTATCAGTTTTCCTTTAATAAAATTTGAAGCTCTGTTATTAGAT